CCTAAACCCTAAACCCTAATTAATGGAAGGGGGGGTTTTTGGGCTTCAGGATGTTGCGGTGCCGGGTTCAGGACTCTAGGGTTTAGAGCAGAGGTTCTCCCGGGTTTGGGATTTCGTGGGGGTTCCTTTAAGGGTTCCTATAAGGGTTCCTTTAAGGGTTCCTTTAAGGGTTCCTTTAAGCTTGAGGGTTTCGGGTGTGGGATTTCTTGAGTTCCTTTAAGGGTTCCTTTAAGGGCTACTATGAGGGGTATAGGGTTTAGGGTTTAGGGTTCCGGGCTTAGGACTTGGTGCACAGGTCTCCGACCGACACAAACTCCGACGGCAAGCCTGGGATCCTACAACCAAGCGGCAACAAAAGGGTGGTTTAACGTTTAGGGTTTACGGCTCTTCTATTCAGGTTTAGGGCTTGGGCTTTAGAGATAAGGTTTTAGGATTGTAGGGCAACAGGGAGATGTTTAGATCCTGCGTGCTTCATTACGGACGCGACTGTGCCCATGGGTGGCGAGATGATTCGAAAAGAATGTCCAAGCAGTTCTCGAAGGAATATGAAGAAAGAAGCTTGGAAATCATTCAGTTCCCCACTGCATTTTGATCTTTGCTCCATCTTGATACTGCTCTCGTTCTCGCGCGTTTCTGCCAGTGGTCGCTATAGTTATATGCGTGCCTGTTTAGTAACACGGAATGGTATGGAGGTGAATGATCAAAAGCAGCTACACCAAGTGTAAAGACACGAAATATTTCTGGTGTAACAACAGAAACGCATTATCACAAGTGCCGGTGAATACAGGTAACATCACTAAACGGCAAAGACTACACGCAGGTGCAGATACACAGGCCAACATTCTGATGAATACTACAGAGCAAACACAGATTTGTGTGAATAAACCGAACGGCAATGACAAGCTAAGGCAATAAGATCACAGCAATTGCCGCCAAAACTCAGGAGCCAAAAGCGGACATACGTGGCATGAAGGAACTGCAACCACAGACCGCCAAACCAGCCCCAAACCCAAAAACAGGAAACAAGAAACGCTCAAACATGAAAGCTCACCCAAACTTTTTGGGGGTGCCCTGAGCCTCCCTGAACCCTCTAAACCCTAAAGCCTATTTGAACCTTAAATTCTGAACCCTGAATCCCAAACACTAAAATAAAAACGTTCTAAAACCCATGTTTCATTATAGGAACCGTTACACGAACCCTAATATGAACCCCTAAAGGAACCCTCCAAAGGAGCCCTTAAAGGCACCCGAAAAGGAACCCCAAAACCGACGCCCCTGCAGAAGCGAGCCGGGGGCTGGCCAGAGCCGGCCGCTCAACGGCTCGATCTTGAAGATGCCATCCCGGAAGAGCATGGGATCCTTCATCTATACGGTTTAGGGTTTAGGGTCTAGGGTTTAGGGTTTAGGGTTCAGAATGGGATCCTTCAGATCTAGGGCATTGTAGGGGTGTACGGTGTACGCTTTAGGGTTTAGGGTTTCAAAACGGGAGCTTCGGGTCTGGAGAGCATGGGATCCTTCCGATCTAGGCATTGCAGGGGTGTGCCCTTTAGGATTGAGGGTTTTAGGGTGGGATCCTCCAGATGTAGGCATTGTAGGGGTGTACCCTTTAGGATTTAGGGTGGGATCCTTCAGATCTAGGCATTGTACTTTAAAGGATCATGGGACTTAGTAAGTAGGGTTCTAACTAAGGTAACTATAGCTATAACCCCAATAAGGGGACTTATAACCTTACTTACTAAGTCCCATGATCCTCCAAGTAGGGTGTACGCCTTCGGATTCAGGGTTTAAAACTGTCTAGGACATTTTCAGGTGGGTAGTTACCGTTATAGAAGCCTTATAGACGGTCTATATACCTTATAGGAGCCTTATAGAAGCCTTATATACCCCAAACTCCCCACCTGTAGTTTCCTTTAAAACTGGGGTGTACGCCGAGGTCAGACCTTCCCGTTCTCTGATTCGACGCTCCCGTTCTCTGATTCGACGTTTTTCCTTAACTGGGAGCTTCGGGTCTGGAGGTTCGGGCTTGAGCAGATCGTAGGATTTCTTTGGGAGGGGTGTTCAGGGTTGAGGGTTTGGGGTTTGGGGCAGGGGATCCTCGTTTGAGTTGTTCTTGCTGTACAGCGACAGGAAAGGAGCCGACATCTTTCGAGGACGATGTGGGGGATATCACTGTAAACCCAACCCCGTCACTCCAAAGGCCCAACGACCCCCAAGCACCCCCCCCCTGCGGCACCAAGCCCTTCTGATTCGTGTTAGCGTCCTGCTAGCAAAGCGTCGGGTTAGGGGTTAGGGTTTAGGGTTTAGGGTTTAGGGTTTAGGGTTTAGGGTTTAGGGCTTAGGGTTTAGGGTTTAGGGTTTAGGGTTTAGGGCTTAGGGTTTAGGATTCGATGAGGACTGACTCTGAACCCCTCACTCCGAGACCCAAGCTAATTAATTACCCTAAACCCTAAACCCTAAACCCTAAACCCTAAACCCTAAAACCTCTTCAGTCAACCGGAGTTTCGGATTCAGGGTTGTTGGATAGTGCTGTTGGATAATGCTTAGGCATGTCGTACTAGAGTTCTATGATGTTTGATGGAGATTGTCCAAAAATCACGTTGCGAATGATGACACGGCGACCCTGCAGTCCTCCTCCACGGCCTTCATGATCGAGTCCTCAGCGAGGGCCCCTAAACCCTAAACCCTAAACCCTAAACCCTAAACGAGGGCACCAGGATCAACCGGATTTTGGCTAAGGCTACAGCAAAATCGAGAGCCAAGGTCGGTAGATGTCGAGGCAGTCTAATAAGTCTAACATATGGGTAGTTGTCAAAATTAGGGTCCCTTTTGGGGTGCCCTAAATAATAGGTGCCGTATTATAATAAGGACCCAAAAAGGGGCCATAATTTTGACAACCACCTAATATATGTGGGGTTTCCGAAGATAGGGGACCCTAATATAGTACCCTAAATGGTGGGATCCTTATTGTAAGGACCCCAAAGTAAGGAACCCCTCATGTTCGGAAGCTCCCAGAATACCGTAAGGGTTAAGCCCTAGACCCGAACCCTTAACCCCCAAACCATCCTGAACCTAAACCCTAAAATGCTAAAGCCTAAATCCCGTAAACCTCACACGCTAACCCTACATTTCCTGGGTTTGGGCTAAGCTTTAGGGTTTAAGGCTAAGGGTATAGGGCTTAAGTGTTTCAGGTTAGGCTTTAAGGCTTAGGGTGCAGGGTTTAGTGCTGTTGGCGGCTGTTGGCTGTCCTCGCAATGGTGCTTTCTGTTGGTCGCCACTGCGACATGCCTCACATGAGTCTTACTGCTGTCCCTACTTCTAGGATATGCCAACTGTTTGAACTCCGAGTAGTCGTCCAGCAACAGCTGCAGCCTCAACAACAGGAGTAGCTGTGAAACAGCAGCAGCAGTCGTCGCCGTCGTCACTGTAACTAGTGGTGGTGCTTGCTGCCGTTGCTGTTGCAGCAAATGGTAGTGGCAGTCGCGGTTGATGTCCTTCTTTGTCTTGTAACTTGCATGCGCGCTCAGAGGCTCCAGCGTCCCTTCACCGACGTGTAGGGGAGTCTCTCGGAACCCGTAGAAACCCAAAAAAAACATGACAAACCCCAAAAGCCCTGCTGAGCCCCTGTAGCTCTGATACACGACTACAAACGGCATATTCGAATCTCCGAACAATTCCTAAACCCTAAACACAAAACCCTAAAACCCTAAAGCCCTAAACCCCTAAACCCTAAACCCAATTCCTTTTTTCGTCTGCAAGTGGATTGCTGTCGGGCGGCATACTTCCGGCCCAGGAGCTTCGTGACCTGCGACTTCCGGGAAGGCGTTGGGCACCGGCGCTTTGCGCTTCTTGGGGCTTTAGGACTGCCAGGAGTTAATATAGGGGCCTTAATACTTAGAATAGGGTTTGGGGGCCTACTATACTATAATTATAACAAGGAACCCCCAAAATAGTGTATGTAATTTTAGGCCCCTACATCAAGGGCGTTCTGGGGCTTTTGGGGTTCAGGGTGTAGGATTCGGGGCCGGTGCCGAAGGCTTCGGGAGCCCGAGTGCTGCGATTTTTTGTGACCCCCCCCCCCTCTGTCGCGGCTCTTTGACGGAAGATAGCAAAACCGAATCGACCGAATGTCCCTAATTTAGGGTTTAGGGTTTCTAAGCGCCCAAAACCTAATCCCTAAACCCTACTCCCTCAAGCCCAAACCGTCGGAAACAACACGAAAAAAGAAGAGCGCGGCCTTCCGCTCCGTCCGCAGGCGCCGCCGCTCTCCGTCGGAACCACTATCGCTCTCCTCGTCCTGGCCGATTCGGGGACACCCAGATTTCAGACGTCTCGCAAAAGAGCCTTACTGAGCGTTTTACGGGATGGTATAGGGTATCTATTGCATGGGGTTTTGTTCAGGGCGCAATACTGTGGCCTTAGAACGCAGAACAAGGTTTGGGGCTGTGCTGCGGCATCACTATGTTCCCTAAACCCTAAACCCTAAACCCTAAACCCTAAACCGTCGGGACGATCAATGAGTAGCAGATACTATTCTCGTATTATTTGCGGACTGTCAGGACTCCATGTGCGTTCGACAGGCGGTTCTCTAAGGTTCTTAGGGTTCCCTAGGTCTAGCAGCATTCTATGCCAAAAGGGGTCTATAGAAATTATCGTCCGTTGGCGACTTATCAGGGTTGAGGGCTTTGGGTTGAGGCCGCAACCCTCACATCCTGCCCCAAGACCGGATTGTCCGACACTCACGGTCTCTGAACCCACAATGCAACAGTAGTGACAAGGATGCTGTAGTCATATTGGTTAGCAGCTGGGGACAGAACAAGTAACCACATGTGATAATGCTTCCGAGACTCTTGAGACGTAAGAGTTCTGACGAAGACAGAGAAGAAGAAGCAACAACCAACAACCGGCGAAATTGAGCTCAGGGCACGCAAACACATCGATTGGAAGTCTGAACCCAACTAGCAACTAGAGCAGCGAAACAAGCAGTGATGTCCTCTGAGAAGTTCGCTTGCTGCATGAAGAGCAACTGGCGGCCGGCTTGCAGAAAAAGCGTACGTTGGCGGTTCCAACACTCGACTGCTACAGACTGTCGGCTCAGTCTTCTTGTTTCTGGCCGTTCTGCCGCGATTGAGGTTTCGATGGGGCTGCAGACACGAAGCATCCAGGGGCTCGCAGAAGACCCGGGTTTCGGATGCAAGGTCCGGGGTCGAAAAGCTCATTCCCCCCCCCCCCAAAGCCCCACAACAAAACCCGAAAGGCCAGGGTCTCTGAGCCGAGGCATATTCTCCTACTTTCTTCATTTCGTGGCTCTTGATGTTCATGAGGCTTCCTAGACCTACAGCCTTTGTGCCGAGAGGCCCTTTTCGTGAGAGCCTCGCAAAGACCAGGAAGCCCTCTAAACTCGGAGCTGCTTTAGGCTTTCAGGTTTTTGGGATGTTCGTTTGGATTCCACTGCAAATTCCTCCAGAAGGAAGGAGGGTTTGGTCTTCAAGGTGGTTCAGGGGAAATTCAGGAACGGAGCCAAGGACAACCTCAAGGCGTGCCGCACGATTGCTCTAGACTTTCGCTCGAAGTCCTAAAACTGCTTAGTGTGTTCGGGTTTAGGGCTCCATACTCCCTCGATTCCCTGCACTACTACACACTACTACCACAGCCGGCTTTCTGGGAACTCAGCCTCTGCCTGCACAATTAGCAATCGCTGCCGTTAGGGTTCCCAAATTGACATCTGTTTAGAGCATGGAGCCGCCATGAACCGCCTCTGTCCTATAACGTTTATAAGACCCCTATCTTGTAGAACCCTTCTAGCAGCCTTATAGAACCCTTCAAAAGAACCCTTTAGCAAACCCCACATTTCTGTTTAGTCAGGCCCCTTTTTGTTTTTGAGCCCTGGGGCTCTCCCTGAACCCTAAACCCTGAACCCTGAACCTTAAACCCCAAACCCTGAACCCTGAACCCTAAACCCTAAACCCTAAACCCGAAACCCGAAACCCGAAACCCTTAACGCTTTGGCCTCATCCATCTCCTCGGCTTTCAGCTGCTGGTGTAGAGCCAGCCTCGCGAGAGTACGGGGAGTCCTTCAACTAAACCTGGGGCGGAGGCTTTAACCCCTAAACCCTAAACTCGAAACTCAGAAACCCTTGAAGACTTTCACAACTCTGAGTTTACGGAATTTCGGTGGTGGGATTTCGGGGATAGGGTAGGGTAGGGAGGTAGTCATGGGGTTGAAGGTCGGGCAACTGTAGTTATAACCCATATCAACGGACTTATAACCATACAACCACCCATGAACCTCCGAGTAGGGCCGGGTAAGGCAGGGTGGGGTGGGGTAGGGTTGGGTAGGGGTCAGCGTGGGATTTCGCCAACCCAAAGTCCCGCTCCCCATGCTTGCAATCTGCTCCCGCAGCCCCGAAGAGCCAAGACGACTAGGGGAAGCAACCCCCGACCCTGAAACAAAAAACGGATTCGGATTCGGCCTGTGCTGAGCCTCCTCCATCGTGGAGGCGAAAAGACGCCAACTGCGCAGCGATTTCCATGTTTGGCAGGTGGGGGCTTGAAGCCTTTAAGGTGGATCGTCCACAGCCATTGGTAAGCTTTAAACTTGTTCTCAGAGGACTTCGTACCTTTGCCTGAACCCTCACCTTCAATCTTGACCCTTGAAGCCCCGAAGCCAGCAGCCGTAAACCGGCTTGCAGCTTGGAGCTTGAGGACCGGAATGAGATAACTAAATATATATATATATATATATATGTAACAAGACGCCAAGCAACCCGAGCACCGGGGCCTGAAATCAATCGGCGCATCTGAATCATTTCTGATGGTGACCACGCCCTGCGACTCTAATCCGACATAGGTGTCCTGCACCGAGGGCTGGTTGCTTGCGTTGTCCCGTCTTCACCACTGTCACCACTATGTCACTGGAAGTCTCTACATGTGACGGGTTTTGTCTGCTGCTGATTTCCGGGTGACAGTCCCAATGAAAGTGCCACTGATGGCTTCGGGGAAGAGGCTTCGGGCTTGAGAGGCTACCAGCTAGTCCTACGACCCCGCAGCGAAAGCTCTGTCCTCAATGAGCAGTAGGCTGTGAGACAGTGAAACCTGCAGCTGGTTCATTCGGGAAAAGGCAGGTTTGTCGACGGTTTGTGGATTTTATTTGGCTTCAGCGATGGTAGAGTTGGGGACTTATGTTTTCATGGAGGGGGTTGGTTTTAAAAAGTTCAAGATCCATGGCTGGAGGTGTAGATTGATAGGTGCTGGGGTTTGGCTAGCGGGCGGAGTTCGGTGGTGTGGTAGGCTGGGCTCGGGAGAAAAGCAAATCAAACTCCGCAAACTCGCATATAGATCATGTCGGGCATCTTGCTTAATGCAAAAGATTGCATGCCTACCAACATTCTCATCCTAAAGTCCCAGCCCAAACACACAGCCCAAAGAGGAAAAAAGATACCCGATAGAAACCATCGAAACACCATTCTGTTGCAAATCTAGCCGGTCAAGCACAGTGAGCCCTGTTCGCAAGATGGAAGATACGAAGCCCAAGGCCCAGGGCCAAAACAAAACGTTAAAGAAAACAGCAAACTCGAAGCCTGAAGACGCTCCAACCCTGAACCTGAACAGACCTCCACGTGCCCCCGAAAGCTCAGCGGGCCCCGGCCTCTGCATTACATGCTTGACCGCGGAGAGTGGCGACGGCCTCCATCTCCCCGTACCTGGGATTTCGGATTTTCGGTGTTCTTGGAGTTTGGGGTTTAGGAGCTTAAGGCTTCAATGATTTTTTTGTGCTGCAGAACTTCAATTTGTCTCACCTGCCTCTGAACGCCATAATGTAGGAACCTGATTAGAAACCCTGGGCCTTTATTATTCGGGTTCTTTATATGGGCCAGGGTTTTCTTCATCAAGTAACATTACTGAGCGAACATCTCTGAAGTCTGAGCTCCAAGCACTCGCAACAACGGGAGGAGCCTGAGAAGCCAAACAGGCTTCTGACGACGAAGTCAAGCCCTTGACAACCCGACCTGAAAAAGCGCGGCTGCGCGACCAGAACACATCGAAGCTTCATCATGCGGAACCTCATGCCGAAAATCCCGATCCCCAAATCTAGAGATTTAGAGCATCTACTCTGCTTACACCCTGCGCGTCGAACGCCCAGCCAATCACTTCGCGACCCATCCAGGGCAGCGGCTTAATATGCAGATCACATTCGTAGCTTTCGGCCCGTGGCGGTGTGAAAAAGATCGACACCTTCAAGGTGAAGCTTCGGAAATTTGGGGGTTACGGGACACAGTCTCTGCGAGCAAAGTTTAGGATGTTGCAGAAGCATTTGGAGAACGAGTACAATGACAACTGCAGCGAGGTGACAGAAATCATGGGGCCCTACACACTCGATGAAATCGATTCCCTGTAAGTTTCAGGGCTTTTGGGCTTTCGGTTTTGGGGTGATTTCGGCACGTTGATTCTCCAATGACTCGAACTGCAGGGGGGGAAGCGTGAGGCAAGGGAGAGGGAGCGAGAGAGAGAGAGAGACGAACAGAGAAGAGCCTAAACGTGCACTGGGAAGACCACGTGCAGGATCAAATTCCTAGCCTCGAACTCTGAAGCCTTAAAACCTGAACCACAAAGCCTGTGGTCAAACAACAAACCAAGCCCCGAACAGGAACTCGAACCCCGGAACACCGTCTCTGCAACAAGTACGACCTATAATCCGAAACACATAGCGACATAGCATGCGCACAGCCGCACCTATCAGCCACTTACGAAGTGCCCTGGTCCAAAATCCATACAAATCCCATGGAAACAAATGTTAAAACCCATTTGTCCCCCCTCCACCCTAAACCTAAATCCTAAAAGCCTAAGTCCCTAAATCGCTGCTCCATATGTTCTTTCGCCCCTCGCCTGGCAGGCCGCGCCCTCGTCCAGGAACCCATCCGGCACTTCGATGCTGGCGGAGAACAGGCAGATGGAGAAGAGTTCTACGTGGGTTACTTCTATCAGCACTACTTTAAGGCTTCTTGTCAGGGGTTCTATCAGGGGTACGTTAGGGGTTCCATAAGGATTACTCTAAGGGTTTTGTCAGCGTTGCTCTAAGCATTCGACAATGATTCTACAATCTACAATAGGTTCAGGGACTTGGGGTTTGGGTTCATGGGTGTGAGGGCTTTGGGTCAGGCTTTGACGTGTTGGATTTGGTCTTTCTGGCCTAGGCCTCGAGGAGCTTTGGGTTCAAGTCGAGGTTCCTACTCATCAGGGGTCCTTCGCTGTGAGCGGGTGCTTCCACGATTCTGAATGCTTGCACAGACCAGGCTAGTTGCACAAGATCATCGGGTCCTTGGCAGACAGAACGTCTGAACATGCCTTTCCTCGACCTCACAGACGCAAGCACGGATCCGGGGCCTTTTTGTCGGACTCTAAGGAGCTTCATTCCAGAACTACGAGGTGACGTCCGGAAATGTCAACTGCTTGACGAGAAAGCACGGAAGACTCTAATTTGCGGATTGCTGTACCTGGACAGATGTGATAAGTTTTTGCCATGAGCCAGGCTGAACAAGCAGAGTCGAGAGCACATGCTTTTCTGAGAACTCCTGCCGACCTCGCCATGGCTTGCTGCCGCTTGAGTAAAATTTGAGACCTGACCACTGCGATGCGACGGACAGACACATCTTGCTGACGAGTCCTCGGGCCCCTCAACCACGAAGGCCAGCCGAAGCCGCTACTCTTGTGTTGAGGGACGTCGGGCGTCCTTGAGCACCACAGGTCGCCATTCCTCCCCTTCGAAGTGCTTTTTTGGGGCAAAGCTAAACTCCCAATTTAAGTGCCGAGTACTTTCGCGTCCGTTGCAAATGCGGGAGATTTTGCCTGTGGGAACACCTGTGTGCGCGGCAGCCTTCGAGATGCACGCGAACTCCAGCCAGGGCTCTTGAGAAGAGTCGAACGTAACCGAGCGGGCTTGCACTGCTTTGCCGTTTGGTGAGCTTCGCATGTCCGAGGGCCGTTGTTGCCAAGAGTGCTTTATGTTTTCAGACCGCGTGACATACTCTAAATTGTCCATGTGATTGTTGCCACGGTTGCAGTCTTTATGATTGACATCCTTATCTGGTGACACTTGCTCGCCAAGGAAGGTTGCAGCGACCGCACGATGCACGAGGAAGCCCTTGCCAGCCCGCCTCACAAGACGGTAGCCGTCAGACATCCGCGAGCCATAGCTGACTCTGCTGCAGCGAATCGCTTCTGAAACCCGCCCATGGCTGCTGACCAGGAGGTTGTCAATTGTGCCAAACATGCCAGGATAGCGAGCAGGCTGCCAAACCTCAGCAGGCAGCCGGGAAGTCTGGTTTGCTGCGGCAGGCTTGAACTCCAAGCATGCTCCATGTCCTCTGGCAATCTTGCTCCAGCCGCGGCAACACTGAGATATTGTAGTCGCCGAAATGCCCAATAATTTTGCAGCATCTGCCTGCGAGTTGCAATGACTCCAAGCCTTGTCTCCACAGGGCCGCCACAACACAGCTTGGCTACGACCTGGCTTCCTGTTTGGGTTGATGGCAAAGGAGTGTAGCTGGTTTTCGGAAGGAGTCACATACTTCAAGTTTGCGATATGATTGTTTTCGCGGTCACCATCCAAGTGGTTCACCTGCCAGCATCTCGGATCCTGTGGAGGTCCCAGAAAGGAAGCAGCCACAAGCCTGTGCACCTGATACCCCGCTCTCCCAATCACTACCCCACGGTAGCCGGAGAGTCGCAAGCTCCCGAAGCTGACCTGACCCCTGGAGTTTCGAACTCGACCATGCGAGCTCACCTGCCAGCCGCTCGAGCTCCATCGCACTTGCAGATCCCAGCACAGCTTCCACGGTGTCCCAGGCCGGCTGAAGACGGAAGCCAGGCACCACATCGTTGAGGCTGGCAGCTTCGACAATGCAAGGATTGAAATTGCATCGGACACTGGGTGGGAATTCAAGCAAGCTGTAGTTTCGGAAGTTTGGGTTTAGATCTCAGGCTGTGTTGGGTCTAGACATATGTGGTTTTGTACGTCGATGACAGGGTTGCAACATCAGGGCATGCGATTCCCCTCGAATGCTGCACGCGCATCCTGAAGTTATATGGGCAGTTTAACCAGGGTTCAATCATCGCACTGGACTTGACTCTAAGCTGGAAGCATAATTAGAACCGCCTTTGCCATCCCATGATCCTCCAAGTCTGGCACTTTAAGGATCATGGGACTTAGTAAGTAGGCTTATAACCAAGGTATCTATACTTATAACCCCAATTAGGGGACTTATAACCTTACTTACTAAGTCCCATGATCCTCCAAGTACACCTAAACCCTAAACCCTAAACACTAAACCCTAGACCCTCCAAGCAAGCGCACCTGAAGGGCGCGGTGGTCTTGCAGAGCAGCTTGGAGGCTCGGTCGCCCACGTTGCGCACCAGCACAGTGCGCTCGCACTGGCAGAAGAGAGAGGTAGAGAAAGAAAGCCAGGGTTTAGGGTCTAGGGTTTAGGGTTTAGGGTTTACGGGGGGTATATTATACTTTTTTACAACAAGGAACCACCAAAATAGCATAGGTAATTTTTTTCGGGCCCTACGTTAGAGAAGAGGGCTCCGAGTCTAAAGGGGCACAAGATCTCCGCAAATGTCGCGATGGCACGAGTCCCCTGTTCTGCTGCAGAGAATTAATTACTCCGGATCAAAGGACAGTCGGTAGGGTGTGCCCCGTCGTATCTACCTGAGTCCGGCATTCAGCCACTCAAGCTGCTCAGGCCAATTTCAGCTACATAATCCCCGAAACCACCTGTCACAGATCGAATTGAGAATTTCCGAACATGAGGAAGAAGGAGATTCCTTGGCTTGGGGACAGGCCTACTTCCGACTGGCACAGACCTGGAACTCCCGAGACCGCAGCCTTATGACCAACCATGCACTCGTCGCCGAAGTCGACTACCTGGAGAAAACTTGGCATTCTGAATTAGCCAAATTCTACCGACTGCAGTCTTTCAACATGTCGCTGCGAGGATCGGGTGTTGTCGGGCTTATGGTCAGGGGTGTGCTTGAAGGTTCACTGGAAAGCTGTTGCAAGGGACGCTGAAATTGACCATATTAGCGCTTTGTGCCTTCCCTGTGAGCTTACTGACAGCCATCAACTAGATTCTCAGGTTTAAACCCTTAAACCTGAACCCTAAACCCGAAGCCCTCAAGCCTACTCAACACTCCGAAGTCCGAAGGCCCCATAGACCTTGAAACATAGGGCCCAGGGTCTGCGAGTGGAGGCACAAGGGGCTACCAGCACAAGGCCTGTCGCCAAGGATTCAGGGTCCTGTTATCGTCGTCGGTGCCCCCCCTAACCAAGGCATTGCACTTTCGAAACGCAGACTGTACGAAAAGATGCAAAACACTCACCCCCAATCCCAAGCCACTAATCCGATAATTTCAGCACGCGACCCGCCTCAAGCTTCACCCAACCTCCCTGACCCAAAACACCGCACCCCCGTTACCCACTGAAAAGAAGACAGCGAGACGGACAGGATTGAAATACCAATAACCAAAGAACTATCAAGCTGAGGCAGACCTTTCGCAATAATACCGATGTCAATAGACTTGGTTTCGGATCTACTTCATGACGCTACGAAAAGCAAAAGTATAAATCGCAGCATCTCAAGAGTACCGACTCGCTCCCCATGACATCGGAGGCCCCCACGTCCGGGAAGTCCAGGAGGGCGGAGCCGCCGGAAGCCCGGATCGGGACACTGCGGATCGGAGGAGAACTCATTGCTTGTAGGACTTAGAGGTTTAGGGGTTTTGCATGGTTTTGGGGTTAAGGGCTTTAGGGTTAGAGGCTTAGTGTTTAGGGTTTAGGGGTTGGGAGTTTGGGGCTTAGGGTTTTGAGGCATTTGGGCTCCGGCCGAAATGGCATGGGAGGCCAAATGGATTCAGGATGCAGCGTCTTGCTGGTTTGGCTAGGATGTTATTTTGGGGGTTCAAGGCTCAGAACTCAGGACACAGGGTTTCTGGCATGTCGACTGAAGGGTTACAAGGCTCCGATAGGTTAGATGGCAGCCTGCTTCTTCCCCAGCTCCGCCGAAGCTCCGAACCCAGCACATCGAGGCCCGAGAGCCTCTATCTTGAGACCCTTTCATCTTAAACGGCCTCAGCCCGACCCCTCTTAGCCTCTCTGCACGTGTCCCTAAAGCCATGAAGCCCTTAGCCCGAACCACACAAATATCAGCAGATTTCCGGCCTGAACTCTTCTCTTTCGGTGACCTTGGCAGGGCCCCCAGCTCCCTTCGGACTGGGTTCGGATACCGGGCTCCATGCAAACAGAATAATGATCTGGCCAAGCACCCTCAACCCGAACCTAAACCCTAAACCCTTAACCCTAAACCCTAAACCCTAAACCGTACCCGAAAAGTTTAATTAGGGGTTTAGGGGATTACGAGAGCCGCAAAACATGCACTATGCTACGGAATCTTCCAACGACTGTTGGTTTTCTTCAGCAGAGTCGAACGGCCAGAGTACAACGCCAACCCGCTGGGAACCGTTCGGCCGTGCTGTGACATACATACAACAACTTCTGCACAATGTAATCCATTCCCCCTAATATTAATCGGGGGGCCCAATAAACACTCGGACTGTGTTTTTTATTATCAGGGGGTAATTTTACCTCTACTGCCACTTTTGAGGGGTCGTGCTCTTGCTGCTGCTTTGGCTCTTGCTTCCGCGCTGGCTTTTGCCCTTGCTTCTGCTGCGTCTCTTGCACGCGCTCCTGCTCTTGCTGTTGCTCCCGCTTTTGCTCCTGCTCTTGCTCCTGCTCCTGCTTTTGCTTTTGCTTTGCTCTTGCCGCTGCTCTTGCTGATGCTCCCGCTTTTGCTCTTGCTCCTGCTCTTGCTCTTGCTCTTGCCTTTGCTCTCGCTTTTGCTCTTGCTCTTGCTCTTGCTCTTAGTGTGCTCGACGGGTATTGGAGCCTAGAAACCCGCCCCCCCAATTCAGAACAGGTTTTAAAGGGCAGGGATGATTTCGGGAGGATTCGCCCCAAGTTGGTTTTTATTATTCGGGCGAGGTTTATTAAAAGGGGGAAGGGACGAGTCGCATATCCCAAGAATACGCCAGCAACAATCTGACCTTCTGAACTAGAAGACTCTTAATTCTGAGCCCTACACCTCACAACTCTGCTGCAGCAAAAACCTCATCCCAAGACCTTACAGAACACTTCTAGCAACCGCTATACCGCCCCTAAACTCCACGACTTCCCCGACCATCACACAGGGCCCCGGCGACTTTGAGGTCGTAAGTGTAATCTATCCTGCAACGAATCGAAGGTCCGGTTTTAGGGATTAGGAATTAGGGTCTGGGGAGTAGGAATTAGGGTTTAGGGTTTAGGGTGTTTTCTGCAGATTCCGGGCTTTCGGCTGTGAGCAAAAAAGTTTGCAAGCTAAACAGTTTCGGCTTGAGGATGCTGTATCCTTAATCACTAGACTTTCAGATTGTTTCAGGCCAAACCCCCAGCCTCAACAGCAAAGACAGGCCCGCAGGGCCATGCAAAAAGCAGTACTCAGGCCCTCCTGCGGGTCTTGCAGGCATGCTCAATCCGAAGCTCAAAAAGACGATCAAGTTCGAGTTCGACGGGAACCCTCAAGCTCGAATCCGAAACCCGGAGCCCCTACACAGCCCCAAAAATCCCAACGTGCACCGCCCAAGAACCCTAAACCCTCGACCCTAAAGCCTAAACCCTCAACCCTGAACCCTAAACCCTCAACCCTAAACCCTCAACCCTAAACCCTAAACCCTAAACCCTCAACCCTCAACCCTGAACTGCAGCGTCTGGCCTGGCGTCTGGCTTGAAACGCACCACGTAGGAGACCTCCATGCCTGGAGCCACCTGCGGGGTCCCGGTTGAGAGAGCGCGCGTCTAGGAGGGTTTAGGGTTTAAGGTTTAGGGTTTAGGGTTTAGGGTTGTTCAAACCAGAGTAGTGCCTAATGTGGGGGCCTTCATAATTAGAATAGGGCTTGGGGGGTATATTCTACTATAATTATAATAAGGAGCCCCCCAAAATAGTATAGCTAATTATCAAGGCCCTATATTAGGGTCTTTGGGTTGGTATATAAGGGGTCCATGGCCTGCTCAGTTTCAGAAGCTCTATAAGGGGTTTGGGGTATCTACAAAATGTTGTAACTGCAAAGCATCCTACAGACTCAACAACCCCTGCGTGAAACAACAAAGCTCCTGGGATGCTTCATGGAGTTGCGAGATGAAGGGAATCCTTGTATTACCCTAAACCCTAAACCCTAAACCCTAAACCCTAAACCCTAAACCAGCAGCACCTAAAAGGCAAGAGCGATAAGAACCAACAAACGGCTCGCTGCAACGCTTCCCAGCCTTGTCTCTGCTACCGTCCGTCGCTGCTATGGCGCCACTCTTGGCTACGCGCCGGCTGGGCAGAAGCCTGGAGGGGTTTAGGGTTTAGGGGTTTAGGGTTTACGGCTTAAGGGTTTTATGGTTCAGGGTTTAAGGGGTTTGGGGTTTAAGGGTTTAGGGTTTAGGGTTTAGGGGTCCATGTACCCAAATAGCATATACTTTGGCCCTAAAGTAGTCCCTATTTAGGTACGTACTTTGGGGCCAAAGTATATGCTATTTGGGTAC